AGTACAGTAGCTCCCCCTTATCCACGGCAGATACTTTCTAAGACTCCCAGTAGATGCCTGAGACTATATAGTATTTAACCCTATATAGACCATGTTTTTTCCTATACATACATATCTGTGATTAAGCTTTATTTATAAATTAAGCAGAGTAAAAGATAAGCAATAACTAATAATAAAATAGCACAAGAGAGTATAATATAAGTTTTATGAATGCAGTCTCTTTCTCTCAAAATATCTTACTATTCTCACCCTTCTTCTTAGGATCATGTGAGAGGATAAAATGCCTACGTCATGAGATGAAGTGAAGTGGATGACGCAGGCGTTGAGAGGTTGTTAGGCTACTACGACTACTTCTGATATGGCAGGAGGAGGATCATCTGCTTCCAGACTGCACCTTACTGCGGGTAACTGAAACCACAGAAAGAAACTGTGGATAAGAGGGGACTACTGTAAAGGATGGAACAACACTCTAGCTCAAGCTGCAGCTGCCTGATTTTCTGACTGAAATGGACCTTGCATTTGTGAACAAAGATCTGACTACAGAGCAAGGAGGAAGGCTCTCGCTACCTACCTTCAGCGTTGGTTCGGCACTGCTAATGTGGGCTTCCAACCGCACATCTATCAGCCTTGTGGTTTGAGGAAATCTTGACAAGAGGCCAACTCTAGGTCCTAGGTTCTGATGATGTGAGTTTACAATGTTTTATGTCTTTGTAAGTATTTTAGTGGGCAGCTAATGCTGCTTATCAGATGCTTTTTAAAATATGAAGTTGCAGGGCGCCTGGGTGGCTCAGTCGGTTGAGCGACTGCCTTCGGCTCAGGTCATGATCCCAGGGTCCTGGGATCGAGTGCCGCATGGGGCTCCCTGCTCTGCGGGGAGCCTGCTTCTCCCTCTCCCACTCCCCCTGCTTGTGTTCCCTCTCTCGCTGTGTCTCTGTCAAATAAATAAATAAAATCTTTAAAAAAAAAAATATGAAGTTGCAATGATGCACTGGAATGGGGCTGTGGCTGAAAAGAATGACAGAATCTCAGTGTCGGAGGGACCTGAAAGATCATGGAGTGCAACCTCTCCAACTCTACACTAACCCAGTATGTGGTCAGCAAGGCCCAGGCTTGAACCCCTTCAGTGACCTAGAACTCATCACCTCGTGAAACAATTCATTTTTAGAGTGCAAATTTTTGGAATGTTACTGAGACAATATTTAACTCTCTGTCCTTCTATACTTTCCTACCACTGTCCCCGAGAGTCACACAAAATAATCCGAACACATTTCTTTCAAGAGACAGATCTTCACATACAGTAGTATCAAATCCACCTTCCAAGCTGTCTTTCTTAGTTGTTCCTAAGGATATATACCAGCAGAACGTTGAGTAAATCTATGTAAGCACACCACGGTACCTATTTAATACTCTCAAATGCAACAGTACCATTTGCAACAATGGTAAATGTACTCTTGGTCAGCATCCCCAGTTATGGAATGGAAAACAAAACCACCTCAACCTACCACATATATTCTTTCCCACAGTTCCAGTAGCCCCTGATTAATGAGCTCCACTTGCAAAGGAAGCTACTTACCTTAACCATGAAATAATGAATGCTATTGATCCAACAAGCTCCTGCTATAGAGTGTTACTGATCACCCAATCTTTGGTTAAAATGGTCCTCATTTAGCAATTTCACTGTCACAAACACCTGGAGCAAAGCATGCTCATAATTAAAGAGTTTGGGGGAGTTAAAGTGAAAGGTGATGGACAGAGATCTCAGCTTCCTCCCATTTATTCTTCTTCTGAGCTATTGTTTGTGTCAGAAGGGATATTGATTTTCTATAAAAATAAGAAAACAAGAGGCACCAAGGGGCCGCAGAAGGTCAGCCTGGGCAGGAGAAGGAGGGGGGAGGTTTAGCACTCTATCTCTGTCACTTGCCTTCCAAGAGAAGGGAATATTTTTTTCCTGTGAGATCGGCCTCTAATACATCACCTTAGGAAGGCTCCTGACTGAGACTTCAGACCAACACCAAACCAGTTCACTTATAAAAGAACAGAAGCTAAACTATATTCAAAGGGAACAAACAAATGATATGTTAGTGGAGAATAGAGCAAAATTAGGCTATGAATCACCTAATAGCTGCTATATAGACTATATGAATAAAGACAAAAAGTAATTTTACAAAAGAACTGCTCCATTTTAGAATGTAACACACACACACACACAGGAAAATATTAAAATAACAACTGATCTTTTTGTAGGTATAAAATACTATTACATCATAACCACTTTCAGTTCCTCAGAACTCCTAAGGGATTGGTTGGTGTAGAACTGAACGAAGAACACAAAAAGAGAAGTAAAAAGAATTACTGGTCAAGCTTAAAACTATTCCATGGTTAATTAGTAAAGCGAGTTTAAGGAAATTAGAAATAAAGCTCTCCGGTTGAGACATATACTTTCAAACCTAAAACATATGACACACATTTTTTTAAAAGAATTCTATCTACTGACGAGGCTTAATTTAGCTTAATGATCACCTTTATCCTAATAATTTTACAAGTTGAATCATACAGGCTGACAATCTTTAATACCACTGATAAAAAGCAAAGTTCTAGGGGCGCCTGGGTGGCTCAGATGGTTGAGCGTCTGCCTTCGGCTCAGGTCATGATCCTGGAGTCCAGGATCAAGTCCTGCATCAGGCTCCCTGCTCAGCGGGGAGTCTGCTTCTCCCTCTGCCCCTCACCTGGCTCGTGTTCTCTCTCTCTCAAATAAATAAACAAAATCTTTAAATAATAGTAATAATTGAGGGAAGAAGATTTTAGTTCCATCTTACTTGAGAGACTGAATATAACTTGCAGTCACCTCTCTTTCTCCACAGAGTAAATTTAGGGGGAAAAAATACAAAGCACTTCTGCTCATAACTACAGATGAATCAACATAAGTCGAGGCATATTTAAAACTCCTAAATAATTAGATTCTAAAGAAGAATTATTCTCATTTTAGGTCTGCTACTACTCAACCTATTATTCCCTCATAGCTACAAGGACTTGGGCATCCATGTTATTAAAGAACTCTGAAGTCATGGACCAGGCAGATAGCACAAATGGGGGGGGGAACAAGGTCTTCTCAATTTGAAAAGAGTAAGAATTTCCTAAGAATTGCTGCCTACTTCAACTTATTAAGGCTCTCATATAACTAGAATGTTTATTATTACAACCTAACTATAACATGCAATAGATGTGTCTGGGGTAAGAAGGAACTGGAAAGACTGAAGTGCCTCACTGCTAGATTACTTACAGACTCTGTATCTGGAACCATTCTTGGACTGTTACCTTAAGAGTAGACAGAATTAGTCTCTTCACCTACAATTATTTCATAATTTAACAAGAAATTCTGGGGAGAAAATATACACAAGCTATCATCGCAAAAAACAATTTTTAAAAATCACTATCTTCAACAGTAAATTATTTGGTATATAGGTTTGATACCAAAACAAACTTAAATGCCTCAAATGAGGATTTTGATATTGTAAAAGGCTGTAAGTTGACTAAACATTTATTTGATTAAAAATAACAACAAACAAACCCTTTATAACCCCAAATCATACATATAAATTGGGCAAATAGGTCTCAGGATATACATTAAAGGAAAATTAGGGAAGCCAAATTATAAGCCTATCTGGTTGTTCAGACTGGCAAATATACAGTTAGTCAGAAAAACTGTTAAAACTGGATTAAAAATCACCCATGAAAGGTACAGGGATAAACACCTAAGCAGCTTTCCCTATTACTGACATAGCTTCACCTCATAGTTCCTAATATTTATGTCTTTGTTTTTCAGACAAACTTCAAAAGGAAAGTCCTAAGAAAGGCCACACATCCTACAGGTGTAAAAGCTACGATGAGACGGAAAAAGAGCCATGGAAAAGGCACACTAAAGGGCAGCAAAACATGGTGGTTAAGTATGAACTTCGGAATCAGGTTCAGTTCCCAGTTTTGCCACTGGGTGACCTTAGGCAAATTATCTAAATGCTATTAACCTCCATCTCCTCTTCTATAAAATATGAATAGCAGTGCCTACCATACAGTGGAGTTCTGAACATTCAATTGGGAAAAGGCAGCACCCACAGTGGCATTTGCTTTGATACTATGAAGGGGATGGGAACAATGTAGGGATGCCAAATATCCTGTAAAGCATGGGACAGTCCCTCACCACAAAGAATCGCCCCATCCAAAACACCAAGAGCATCTTCCTTGAGAAACAGATATCATGCTGATATTAAGAATAATACTAAAGTATCAAGGTGGGGATTATCAATGTTTCTAGGACTATCTGAGATATAAAAAACAAAGTCACTGAAAACTACATTGCCATTTTAAACATACACCCAACAGACCCAAATGTTTCTGGCTCGATGACATTTGTTATAAGACTAATGGGATTCAGTACCGTTACTTTCAAAGCCCACCATGTGTTCAGAGAACTTGAATGCCAGCCATAAAAAATAAGCTCCATACAGTCAAACTGAAAGTAGCAGACAAAAGAATTATAGCCCAGTATCTAAAGCCATGACTCTTGATGGGGAAAGGCAGCTTACCAGGAAAACACACAAACTCCATGTGCCTGGCACCAGCATTTTCTCACGTACACAAACACACACCCCAGCCTCTGCTGAAACCCTCGTTCTAACAACATCTACGTATGATCTACATGGCATAAACAGCAGTAAATTGTTTTTAAAATAAAATTCATGGTTACGCATGTGAAGTACACATTTTAAACCATTTTTAGAAACAAACTGTTTCATTATATGTAGCCTCTTTGACATAGGGAAATAGAATGATGAATGTACTGTAAAAAATTAGAGATAAACCCTAGCTGATTGCTTAAAGGAGGGCTACAAAGTAAACATTACAGTGGCTGCTTTGGAAAGAAAGTTGAACTCATCAAGACTGTGGATTTGTACTTGGGGTAAAAATAACTAGGAAAATCTTTGACTGAGTAAGGGAGTTCTCACCATTCTGACATGTTCTCATCAGAGCCCTGTTTTGCTTCATCTGCTTCACACTCCATCCTTTCTTTCCTTCCTGTTTTGCTTAGGAAAGTCCTATTTTCTGCTGACTCACACAACCCATGACCTGAGGAGGTCCAGGGAGTATTCTCCTTCCAGCGGGACAGACGCTGCTTCTTAGCAGACTTGAACCTGCAGCCTCTCTCATAGCTCCAATCTGACACCTTGAGCTTCTGCTGGAGGCTGGCAGCCACCTCTGATGTCACCCGCTTCACCTTCCGCCGGCGCCGCAGCGGTCGACATGGTGCATTTTCGGTAAAGGAGTCAGATTCGTGCCAAGAGTGCTGCTTACTCTTAACCATGGCATTGAGAGCTGGGTGCCGTTTGGCTACCATCGTGTCATCAGAGTCACTAAAATTGGCAACAGGGGCCATTTCTCGACAGTCCTTAATGGCCTCATCGAGACTGGACTCAGAGGCCTCACTGTAGCAGCAGGTATGCTCTGCCAGGTGAGTGAAGTCTGAACGGCGCTTCCGGCCTCTCCGTTTGCGAAGCTGCCGCCTCTGCTGGCGAGGGCTCAGGGCCATCTCCTCCCACAGCTCACCAAGCTTATTCTGCTCAGATGTCTGCTCCAAGGCTGAGGCTAAGTCATGTACCAGCTCATCCATGAGGCCACATCTGCCAAAAGAAAGTTCAGGAAAAAAGAAAAAAGAAAGCCTGAATAGGATTCTGTTGTTTAGAATAATTTTATAAAATAGACCATTGCACTGCAGAATCCACCCTATCTACAGAAAATAAAGTCACCTTTCATCTGGCTACACTTAAGACTCTGTTCCTCCCATCCATGTACCTTTAAGCCACCAAAAATAGGTGTTTGGCCCTTGTTAGGTACCTCAAGTCAACATGTTCTTAAAGCACAAAAAAAAAAAAATCACTCATCAGATCACAACTAAGATATTAGCAAAAATGAGCAAACCCAGGGAAATAAATCTTTCCCCCACTTTTCCCCAATTAAACTTGTCACTAAATTATCTGATGATAAAACCCAAAAAGATTAGAGAAAGTCTCATTAGACAGGAGCAGAAAAACACAAAACTTCAAAACCATGGATAAAGAACTATTCCATGGTCTGGGGTTACTGATAAGAATGCCTGCTTGTGTTCCCTCTCTTGCTGTGTCTCTCTCTGTCAAATAAATAATAAAAATCTTAAAAATTTTTTTTTTTAAATTTAAAAAAAAGAATGCTTGTGCAAGGGAGGAGAAAGACAACTTGGTGACACACCTTAAGGACCACTGCTTGCAGTTTTAGTGATCTAAGAAATTGTGACCCAGATGTGTACCCTGAATGGAAAAAAGGGACTACGTCTGCACCCATTCTGGTCCCAACTACCACCTGGAAGCTGGCAGGGAAGGAAATTTACCAGGTATGTCATGTATTTTTTAACAATTAGCAACTTCTTAGCTCTTCTCCCATCCTTCAGAAAATTAAGTGATTATAATTATGTGCTTTAGTACCAATCACACAAAAGCAGGATATAACTGAGGCTGAAATGAAGGGACAGATGGAGCCTCTAAGATTTCTAGCTAACCACTTTCTAAATTTTTCTATTCATTCTTGTCAAACCCTCTTACTTCAGGGGTCACCTCAGAGGCAAACCTTCTAAGGGATGAGAGCAGTAGGAGCAATTTTCAAAACGCCCTTTTAAAGGGAAACGTCTAATATAATTTGTACAACTCCTTATTAAATACATATTAATTTAGCATCTTTTCCCTAGCCCTTAAGCCCAATTTCAAGGCCATAATTAGAATTTAAAACTGTGTGGCGCCACTCTTAGACCGTATTTCCATTCATGCTGTTTACATTCTGCAAAGGACTTTCTAAAACCTATTTTCACGCTGTCCTATGCCAACGAATTCAAAGGCAAGAAAACAGTAGGCTGGCTTATCTGCCACATGGGTGGGAGCAATGGGGACACCTAGTTCCAAAACTACCAACCAAACAAAACGTCTCAAAGTTTCAAAAGCCACACAACATAAAATGACCACGTCCCTTTAAGCAATACGAAGTAGTTTAAAACGCCCTGACTGGGGTTTGGGAGACAACTGCCCCTAAGACAAAAACAGATGTGGGGACAGCACGTCTAAACCTACTTCCTTAATAAAGAACTACTGCTTTAAAACTCAGGCAGAACTGTACACTTTAACGTGGAACAACGTTACAGAACAACTTGCAACTATTTGTGCAGAATCCTTTCCTATCGAAAGGACTGCAATTCGAACAGTTGGCGACAGAACCCTGAGCTTCCCACACCGTCAGTCTCGGGTGCACACTCTGAGAGGACCCCCTTGTCCAGCAAGCACTCGAGGAGAGGAAAGGTAAGTCACGCAAAGAAAAGAACGGGAAACGGATAGAAGTTAAAAAAAAAAAAAAAAAAAAAAAGGCAGGCGTACGGTCGGAGCGAAAGACGGGGTTGCGAGAAGCTGGGACGGAGGCAGGCGGCAGGAAGCAACTTCTCATTTGGGCTCACCGGGGCAGGGAGTCAGCCCTTCTCGGGCAGAAACTGCAAAAAAAAAAAAAAGGAAGTCCTGGCGACTAAACTCCCTCCGTGATCAGGGGTCGCAACATGGCCACAGATGTGAGAAAGAGCTTGTCTGGAAGGACTCTCCTCCACGCCCCGGCCCGCCCCGAAGACTAGGGCGAACACGGCTCGGGACACCAAGCCCTCCCGCCGTCGTCTGCCCAAAAGAGCCAGAAAGAAGAAAGGAGAAGGGGTGACTGTAGCCCCGGAGACGCCCGAATCGGGTTCCCCGGGATAGGGTCGATGGGCCCTGAAAAACAAGGCCCAGCCACCCTCGCCCCTCCCGCCAACCTCCGCAGCCCGGTGGCAGCTATGGCCCCTCGGCCTTGGCCGATAGCCCCGATCCCCGCTGGCGCCGGCCCCCGGGACCCCGACCCTCTCAACCCACTCCTCCCCCTCACCAGCTGCCGCAGCCACCTCCAATGGCCGCCGCTTTTGGGGCCGAGTCTCCCCGCCGGGGTTTCCCTTTCTGACCTCATTTCCTGTCTGGGCCGGAGGGGTGGGGCAGTGGTGGAGTGGGAGGGGCTATCTGATCGAGAAGGCCCGCCCCTGCCCAGCGCTTCCGGTCCGTGGCCGCGCCCACTTCCGTCCCACGGAGGGCGGGGTCTTGGAGAAGCCGGGAACAGGGGCAGGGGGCCCTAGAGGGTGGTGGTTAAGGGCGGGCGGGGTAAGGGATGATGTCCACATCTGGGAAAGGACACCCCTCCCCAGTCTGGCCTCGTCTACCTTGGGAACGTCAAGAAATTGGGCATTAGGGAGGGACCTCCACCTCGCCCTTGTTTGCTGACCTCCTTTTATAAAGGGTGTGTGAAATTGAGGGGAAATGCATCCTCATTCTTGACTGTGAGTTGGCACAACTATTGGCCGGGTACCTTTGAAGTGAATTACTCAGAGTCTTGCAAATACAAATGCCTTGAGCAACAAAACAAGTAAAGTACTATTGGATTAAAACTCTATAAAATTAATACCCATGAGTCTATAGTGACATAAGTAAACTAATGATATGAATACTGACATGAATAAAGTAATAAACAGGGAAAAGAAGATAAATCTCTGGAGCAGAAAAATTCTGAAGCATTTCTGTAGATAATTCATCCTGAAGTATAACTCCTAACTCCTTGAATGTGGGCTATGTGTAGTGACTTCCTTCTAAAGAGTACAGCATGGAAAGAGGGAAAATGAGTGTAGGGGAGACACTAGGCAAGCTCTATCTCAGCCAGGTGATCAAGATTAACATGAACAGTGATAAATCATGTGGATCCTATGTAGGCTAGCTATGATATGATGAAAGTGGCATTTTATCTCTATGATACTTTCCTTCCAAACCCCATAAACCCAGTCTAATCAAGAGAAAAAAATCAGACAAACCCCAGTTGAGGGACGTTCCACAGAATGCTTGACCAGTATTCCTCAAAATTGTTAAGGGCAAAAAAAGTCAAGGAAAGTCTGAGAAATTGTCACAGCCAAGAAGAGTCTAAGGAAATGTGACAACTAAATGTAGTGTGGTATCCTAGGTGGGATACTGGAACAGAAAAAGGACCTTAGGTAAAAACTAAAGAAACCTGGATAAACTATGGACTTTAGTTAATAATAATGCCTCCATGTTGGTTCATTAATTGTGACAAATGTTCTATATTAATGTAAGATGTTAATAATAGGGGAACTGAGTATGCGGTGTACAGGAACTGTCTGTAGTACCTTTGTAATTTTTCTGCATGCTAACAGTAGTCTAAAATAAAAAGGTTATTTTTTTAAATGCACATGCCTTTTGACCCAGAAATTCTGCCTCTAAGGAATTTTATTCTGAAGAAAAATTGGAAATTGGTACAAAAATTTTAAATTGTGGAGAGAGGGATGAGAAGATTAGAAAAAAAAAATCCTACAACAGGGATTAGTTATCTAAATTATGGTACATCTATGGGATGGAATACCTCTGAAGCCTTTTAAAATTGATGTGGAAGAATATTTAATAAATGAAAAGTCATCAGTTTCTGATTGTGTACATTTCTGCATGACTGTTTTACTTCAATAAAAAGGTTATTCTAAAAATGTAGAGTATGGCTGTATTCATGTGTAAAGGAAATTAAATCTGTACTTGCCTAGGAATATAACTAAAATGATACACTAGACATCATTGAAAATAGTTCCATTATAAATGACTATATCTTCTACCTGTCATTTTTATGGATTTTCAGAATTTTCTTTCTTTTTTTTAAAGATTTTATTTATTTGAGAGAGAAAGTGTGAGAGAGAGAGGAAGCACGAGCAGGGGGAAGAGGCAGAGGGAGAAGCAGACTCCCGGCTGAGCAGGAAGCCCAACACGGGACTCGATCCCAGGACCCTGGGATCATGACCTGAGCCAAAGGCAGATGCTTAACCAACGGAGCCACCCAGGAGCCCCTTTTCAGAATTTTCTATAGATGAAACTTACTATGTAAAGAATTAAGGGAAGAGGCAAGGAAGACTGAGGTTTGGAGCCAGCATGACTAAGAGAGTGGTCAGTACCATTTGCACAGCTAGAGAAGTCAAGAAAAGAAACAGATTTGGTGAGAAATTGAGTAATTCCATTTTGCACACACTGAATTTGTAACTCTCACAGGAGAGAAAGAAATGTTCAAAAGTTGTCCACAGCCATCAGCCCTCTTTTCTGCTTAAGTGAAGTTCTCTCCCACAAGCGACCTAAGTGTCCACTGATAAATAGATTTTTTAAAAAGATGTGGTGTACACACAAACACACACACACACACAGATACACACAATGGAATATTAGGCAGCCTTTAAAAAGTATGAGATGGTGCCATTTGCAACAACATGGGTGGACATAGAGGGTATTAGGCTAAGTGAGGTAAGTCAGACTGAGAAAGACAAATACCATATGATTTCACTCCAATGTGGAATCTAAAAAAAAAAAAAGAATAAACAAACAAAAAGCAGAATCAGACCTATAAATACAGAGAACAAACTGATGGTTGCCTAGGGGAAAGGAAAAAATGGGTTAAGGGGAGTGGGAGATACAGATCTCCAGCTATGGAATGAATGAGTCATGGGAATAAAAGGCACAGCAAAGAGAATATAGTCAATAATATTGTAATAGTGTTGTATGGTGACAGATGGTAGCTGCACTTGGGGTGAGCATAGCATAACATATAGAGAAGTTGAATCATTACATTGTACACCTGAAACTAATATAATATTGTGTGTCAACTATATTCAAATAAAAAATTTAATAAATAAAACTATGAACAAAAATTCTCTCTCACACATCATAGCATCGCCCATGATGTCAGTTACAATCAGCTCTGAAAGCTCCTGTATTTCTTGAAATCCAGCTTTTATTTTCAGCTTTCTGCTAGCTATCTCCCCTGCTTTACTCCACGAGCATCTCCAGTTGAGGACATCAAGACAAAGCTTAGTTTCTTCCATAGTCCCTACCAAATCTTCCCCTTCTTCACCGTTCCCTGTTTGGGAAATGTTACCACCATCATGCAGTCACCCAGGTGGGATGCCTCAAAGTCATTTTTAGTTCCTGCTTCTTTCTTATATCCCTTTATCTAGTTAAATGCCAAGGCTCATAGATTTTACTTTTATAGTACTCTTGCGTTCACTCTCCCTGTTTTGCTTTCTCTGTGCCATTGACCTGGGTAGGCAACCACTCTTCTGGATGGTCTGTCCCCAAACAAGCCATTCTCTACACTGGCAGTAGAGTGAGATTCCCAAAACACAATTTCACCTCATCCATCTTTCACTACCTCCTGCATCATACTTGAGCACACCAGATCACTTGCTATTTCTTTTTCAGGTTTTATTTATTTTTTTATTTGAGAGAGAGAGAGAGAACATGAGTGGGGCAGGGGCAGAGAGACAGGGAGAGGTTCCCAAGCAGACTCCATGCTGAGCACAAAGCCTGATGTGGGACTTGATCTCACGACCCGGGATCATGACCTGAGCTGAAATCAAGAGTCAGATGCTTGGGGCGCCTGCGTGGCTCAGTCGGTTAAGCGGCTGCCTTCGGCTCAGGTCATGATCCCAGGGTCCTGGGGTCGAGCCCCGCATCAGGCTCCCTGCTCAGCAGAGAGCCTGCTTCTCCCTTTCCCTCTGCCTGCCGCTCTGCCTACTTGTGCTATCTCTCTGTCAAATAAATAAATTAAAAAATAATAATAAAATGATAGGTACACAAACGTCTGAAGAAATTAAAAAAAAAAAAAAGAGTCAGATGCTTAACCGACTGAGCCAACCAGTCACGCCTCACTTGCTATTTCTTGAACACTGCTAAGATTTAGGATGATTTAGAGGCTGAATGCCTATGTCACCTCCATGAAGCCTTCCCCTTGCTTGCCTACTCTGTTGGGCTCTCTCAGCACCTTCTGGCATCTTAACTAGAGCATTTGCTCCATTCAACCTTGAATTAGAGCCAGTTATGTGCAAGTTTGCCTCCCCAACTAAATTACTCATTCAACAAATATATTCCGAGCATCTATGACAAGCTCCAGCAATAGAGCTGTGTGAACAAAAATGAAGCCAATCCCATTGCCCCAGAGGTCCTGTCCTAGCCATTGTATTCTCATCAATGCCTAGAACAAAGCTTTGCATGTGGTAGGTGCCCAGTAACTATTGTCAATTAAAAAAAAACACAAATATTTGCTTACTAAATGCTGGAACAGGAAATTAGAAGCGATTGCCTCCATCTTAAGAGAAAATTTAAATAAAAGCTCCCACCTTCAAGTGATGATGGTTGTCAGAGGCAAGACCACGCAAAGAAAGAGTATGGCAAGAGAAGCCTGTGGGGTTGAAGGAGACAGCTCAAAAAGAACGAGAGCATCTGAAGAGAACCAGTGTACAGAAGCCAGAAAAGGGAGAAATTTAAGAAAAAAGAGAACCAAAAGGAAAATTGGTGAGGAATAGTTCTAAGGAAAGGCCATTGCACTTGGTGACTAAAATCATTGATGACATGGAGTTTTGGGCAGACACAAGCAGATGACAGTAGAGGCAGGAGGGAAGCCAAGGGTAAAGCTCCAGAACTGACTAGCTGCGTCCAGAGCCAACTGCTTAACTTCTTTGAGCGCTTGCTTCCCCATCTGTGAAATGGAGACAAGAATAGAATGTACACATCTCTCCAGTGGAGATTAAATGACATGATGAATGCAAACCATTTAACACAGAACCCAACACAAATTAAGTGTTCCAAAAAATTAGTAGTTACTGAGAAGAGGAAGAGAGTCTAGTCAACAAGTTTCCCTCAATTGACCATTAAAGCAAAACTGTTGGTTGAATGAGAAAATCACCAGCTAAAAAGGATCTACACATAGGAAAAATAATAGGTTTCTCCCTCCTGTGTCCCTGTGTCCTTCCTATAAGACAGACACACACACATACACACACACACACATCATGGGAAAAGCACCTCTGCTGCTGGTTCATTAGATTCCCTGCAGTTATAATAAACTGAGAATTCTCACCATGGCCTCAAC